AAGAAAAGAAAGAAAGAAAGAAAGAATGAAAGATAGAAAGAACTTACGTAAAGAAAGAATAAAAGAAAGAAAAAGAAAGAATGAAAGATAGAAAGAACTTACGTAAAGAAAGAAAAAGAAAGAAAGAAAGAAAGAAAGAATGAAAGATAGAAAGAACTTACGTAAAGAAAGAATAAAAGAAAGAAAGAAAGAAAGAAAGAATGAAAGATAGAAAGAACTTACGTAAAGAAAGAATAAAAGAAAGAAAGAAAGAATGAAAGATAGAAAGAACTTACGTAAAGAAAGAATAAAAGAAAGAAAGAAAGAAAGAAAGAATGAAAGATAGAAAGAACTTACGTAAAGAAAGAATAAAAGAAAGAAAGAAAGAAAGAAAGAATGAAAGATAGAAAGAACTTACGTAAAGAAAGAATAAAAGAAAGAAAGAAAGAATGAAAGATAGAAAGAACTTACGTAAAGAAAGAATAAAAGAAAGAAAGAAAGAAAGAATGAAAGATAGAAAGAACTTACGTAAAGAAAGAATAAAAGAAAGAAAGAAAGAATGAAAGATAGAAAGAACTTACGTAAAGAAAGAATAAAAGAAAGAAAGAAAGAAAGAATGAAAGATAGAAAGAACTTAAGTAACGAATGAAAGAAGAAACAAAGAAATGACGAAAGAAAGAAACTAGGTAAAGAAAGGATAAAGAAAGAAAGAACTTAGGCAAAAAAGAAAAGAAAGAAAGAAAAAAGGAAATAAGAGCAAGGAGAGAAATGTAGAAGAAAGAAAAATGTAAGGAACTAGGTATTTATAAAAAAAAATGAAACAGAGTGTGATATAAGGGAGGTACAAAAGAAAGAAAGAAAGAAAGAAGGAAAGAAGGAAAGAATAAACAGAATAAGAATATATAAAAGAAAGAAAGAAAAAAAAGAAAGAAAGCAAGAAAAGAAAAAACAAATAAAACATTGACATTTATTAATGGTACCAATTATATGACTACAGAAATGTGGATTCAAATTTGCACCAGTTTCGGCATCGAGTGACATTTATTTGCTAAAAATTTACCTAAAAAAATACACCAATTGCTTTATTCATTGTAGAATCTAAACATCTTTCTTTAACAGAGTTATGTCCCTTGCACCTGCAACGCCGGTGGGCAATGTCTTTATTGCATCAATGGCAACGTGTTCGAACACTTACGAAGATGGCATGTAATGACATTAACCGCGAAAGATTTTTGATATGGTTGTCGGTAGTGTAGTAGGAATTCCTACTACACCACTTACAACTGGTTCATGACCCTAGAAACTAAGTATCTAACAACTCATAAAAATAAATAAGTTTTATTTTAAACTCAGACGTTCGAACTGAAGAGTGTATACAAAATAAAAAAAAATAATTAAAAATTAATTAAATAAAAATAAACATAAAAAGGTAAATTTGCTTTTTAAGCCCCACGCTAAATATCTATAAAAAATTTTCAAAATTTTCATATTTCCGTGTAAATGTACATGGTGAACTCGAATTAACAATTAAATTATGAAAAAAAACCTTACTGTTTTGGAGTTATCGACAAAAAAAAATCGGACTAATTCTGGGAAATAATAATTAATGCGCAAACTTTGCATGAAGTTTGAAAAGAGCATGATTATTTACAAAATAAAACAAAATGTTCCTTCCTAGCATTTTTATTTTGTAAATTATCATGCTCTTTCATTAAGTTTGCGCATTAATTATTAGGTTGTTGCAAAAATAATGACGTAATAATATCGTTTTTTGACGTTAAAAAATACGTCAAAAAACGACATTATTACGTCATTATTTTTGTACCAACCTAATATTATTCGTTTTATTTTTGTTTGTTTTAATTTTAATTAAAAAAAATTGCTTTATTATGTTATTTAATTTGTTCTTTTAATTTGTCATTGCTATTCTACACGGAAAATAGGTTCTATTGTATTATTTAATTTGTTTTGTTTAAAGTTTTATGTTATAAATAAAACTACACTTATCAAAAAGACAAAAAGTACATTGCTTTACGATAGTGCGTAGTGATTTTTGCGACGAAATTCTGTAAAAGAAGTAAATAGGCCAAAATTTATGCTTACGCAAACGAAAATACCCGGAAGTACTTCCGCGGTTAATTAGTAATAACAATGGCCGTAATGGCGGACGAATTACCCAGAATTAGTCCGATTTTTTCTTGTCGATAACTCAAAAACGGTAGGTTTTTTCATAATTTAATTGCTAATTCGAGTTCAGCATGCACATTTACATGGAAATATGAGGATTTTGGAAAGTTTTTTTTAGATATTTAACGCGAGGCTTAAAAAGCAAATTTACCACATAAAATAATTTCAAAATTAAATAATAATAAATGAAAAATAGAATAGAAATAAATAAAAAGACAAAATAACCAAATAAAAGGAAATGACATTATTCAGACTATTGCCCTCATCTTTGTCGCCATATTTATTACAACGTTTCGGACGTTGTACGCTCCGTCCTTCTTCAGGTGGTTGGAATGTCGAACTGAACCCTTTATTTCGCTCATCGGGGTAGACTGTTCTAGTTCCACGTGCCATGTTTTGATGGAAGTCAGTTATCAGTTATCTCCTGTTAATTTCCCTCTGAAAGTTCTCCACTGCCTTAACCGGGTATTGAACTCACACTCTGTCACTGGATCTAACCAAAGCCTTTATCCACTGTGCCATGTGTCCTTGAGGAAGGAAGCGCTTGCAAAATATCCAGAAAATTTAGGTAACTAAATGAGTGCTAGCTCTACATTACTTATGCCTACTGATGAAGTTTAAATAGGCTCATCAAATGGAAACTTTTATATGGCTCCTGAATGAAGCCCAAGCCGCTCAGAAATATCATAAAGTTAAACATATTGCGACCAAATTTAGTATTCATCAGATTTTCATTGTTGTACGAGGTTTGTTCGGAAATGATTTATTTGAAAGTAACGAAAAAGTCGCAATAGCGTCTCTGTCCCCACTTCGAAGTACTTCTTTTAGTCATTCAAAATTCAATTTTCCTGCTTTTATCTCTCGTTTCGCTCAAAGAGATAGATATGAACGGGATAAGATACATAGATAAATAGATAGAAAAAAAGAAAGGAACAGTCTGATATATATATATATATATATATATATATATATAAAGAGAGAGATAATGAATAGACTAGGATTAGGTAGATATATTAGATAGAGAAAAGAACGGAACTGTCATATATATATATATATATATATATATATATATATATATAGAGAGAGAGAGAGAGAGATACAGACAGACAGATAGATAATGAATAGATTAGGATTAGATAGATTAGATAGATAGAAAGATAGAAATAATAAAGGGACAGTCTTATATATATATATACACACACATGTAGATAGATAGATAATGAATAGACTAGGATTAGATATATTAGAAAAAAGAAAGGAACTGTCTTATATATATATATATATATATATATATATATATATATATATATATATATGTGTGTGTGTGTGTGTGTGTGTGTGTGTGTGTGTATGTAAAAATATATAAAAATAGGAAAGAACTCGTTAGGTAAATAATCCAAAGTTCTTTAGTACTTTTGTTATTATTTTTAAAAAATCAGTACTGATACAAAAGTAGAGCCTAAACATAATTATTTATTTTAAAATATAATTATTTATTTAAAATATGATTCCATCGCGATGGAATCATATTTTTAATAAATATTTTTTAAATCTATCTATCTATCTCTCTATATATATATATATATAGATAGATAGATAGATAGATAGATAGATAGATAGATAGATAGATTAGGATTAGATTAGATAGATAGAAAGATAAAAAAGAAAAGGAACAGTCTGATATATATATATATATATATATATATATATATATATATATATATATATATATATATATAGTTAGATAGGTAACAAATAGACTAGGATTAGATGGAAATATAGATATTAACAGACTGAGATAGAAAAACGAAAAGAACTGGCCTAGATAGATGTTTAACAAGAAGATTTGCGTTATATCTCTCTGACCATAGCTCAATTAGGTCTCCTTTAAATGCACATTGAGATCTACCAAACCCTATCTGTAACACTCGTTGATAATACAAATATAATAACATCATCCACATGTACAAAAAGGCTAAAAATAATGGAAGCATTATCAATAAAAAAAGAAAAAAAGTCTACTATCAACTATGAACACGGCCACAATGTGTTGACCATGTTTTGAAAATAAAACATTTCTATAATTCTAAATATTTACATAAAACAATGCGTATATTCAGTTAAAAGTAAAATTAAATTCCTCCTTGATAATAAAGTATCGCCGAAAGCGCATACAAAATATTCGGACAATTTTTTATATAATTTATGTCCTGAAAAGAGAAAAAATATACGAGCACATGATAAATTATATAAAAAATCCGAACCATAGCAACTTGTCAGTCATTTTCTACGAAACTTGCGTTCTGGTATTCTGAGTGATGAGGTATGGTTGTATCACCTCTTTTTAAATTGGCCCTCTGTTCAACCAATGTATTTTTTACACTGCTACTGTCACTCTCCACTTCTGCACAATACACTACACGTTCTGTACAAGATATCCCATTTAAGGGACAATTATATTTTATCCTACAATTACAATGGGTTACTTCGACCTCTCAAGTCCTCTTCAAGATTCGAATAATATTGAAAATATTTTGATAATATTGCCTCCGTTGCTAGTGCAAGTATAGCTCAACTTGACTGTAGTACAGTTAAAGTGCTTATTTAGAAGGCTAAATTTTCCTTATGTTTGTTTTTACTCGCATATTGAAGGGTGGGTTGAACCAGATGACATTCACTTTTTTCTTTTTCTATTGTCATCTGTTGGGTCTGCTTAGTCCTTGAAACACAGGTTGATGTTATACCTATCTTCTCTTAAGGCTGATACATATATACACCTGTGTCCCCCCCCCTTACTGGAATATGATTGGCTGGTGTCCGTCATAAATACCGACGAACATGTAAGTGAGTCAAAGCCTTAGTCTGAGAGCTAAGTCTATAACGACGCCCATTGGACTACGCCATTGATCTACATTTCTTGCCTGCGCCTACGACGCGTACCAGTCGATTACTGCTATGATATTCTACTTGATTATAGTAGCCAAAACCACTTAGCTACTTCGTTCAAATATATTCCTTTCAGGGACATATTATTTTCATTAAATATCCCTTCATTTGAAGAATTGTTTGACAATCTGCATTGTACGCCTAACGGGACATGTCTAACTACACTTGACGGGTGGTTGGATGCAATATTTACGAATCTCAAAGCCTTAATAAATTTTATGAAACGTGAGATGGTTTCAGTCAACAGGTTGAGCTCTATGTCCATGAACTGGACTACTTGCCTGCTGATCTCCACTGTGATGTCGAAATCAGATCTTTAACCACCTTGTGTAGTTTTTTTTCCTGATGGAATCATTATTTCTTTTGCTATCCGGTACCACCATAAGCCCATCATCCCGGTATATTCCGTGGTCGCCGTTGTGGTCATTTTTATTTATTTTACTTAGGATATAGATTCTCATCAGTTCAGACACCTAGCCTCGTCGAATGATCCCTGGGGGACATCAAAATTAACGGCTTTGGATTTCCTAATCCATGCTTTATCACTATGAAATAAAACCGATTTAATGCAATGTAGGATGCTTTAATCTGTTCGGGCTTTAAGCATACGAAGTCTTTGGCAATCATCAAAGCCTTCAATAAAATTTTTTTCTGTTATAGATAGATAGAAATCCTTAATATATTTGATAAACACTTTATTAATCTTGCTCGGAATGTTGTTAAACCAGGAAATGCAGTCTGAAGTGCTGTCCTATTGGTTGACTAGCGTAGCCAACCTGAGAAAGTTGGCAAGTTTTCCATTACAATTTTATGGTTTATAATGCCTAG